TGTTTCTTGGTCGCAAATTACAGAGGGATTAATGCTTTTTATCACTGGACCAATAAGAATATTTTTAAAAAAATTTTGATAGCCTGCGTCCCCACCCGCCCGTATCACAAAAACGAAAATTGAAATATGTATGTCGAAAAAAAAATTCATATCTCGAACAATTTTCGACCAAATTCTTGTTTCTTGGTCGCAAATTAAAGAGAGATTAATGCTTCTTATCACTAGACCAATAAGAATATGTTTAAAAAATTTTTGATAGCCAGCTGCCCCACCCGCCCGTATCAGAAAAACGAAAATATCGAAATATGTCCAAAAAAAATTCATAACTCGAACAATTTTCGACCAAATTCTTGTTTCTTGGTCGCAAATTAAAGAGGGATTAATGTTTTTTGTCACTGGACCAATAAGAATATGTTTAAAAAATTTTTGATAGCCAGCGCCCCAACCCGCCGGTATCAGAAAAACGAGAATATCTAAATATGTCCAAAAAAAATTCATAACTCGAACAATTTTCGACCAAATTCTTGTTTCTTGGTCGCAAATTAAAGAGGGATTAATGCTTTTTGTCACTGGACCAATAAGAATATTTTTAAAAAAATTTTGATAGCCAGCGTCCCCACCCGCCCGTATCAGAAAAACGAAAATATCGAAATATGTCCTAAAAAAATTCATAACTCGAACAATTTTCGACCAAATTCTTGTTTCTTGGTCGCAAATTAAAGAGGGATTAATGCTTTTTATTACTGGACCAATAAGAATATGTTTAAAAAATTTTTGATAGCCAGCTGCCCCACCCGCCCGTATCAGAAAAACGAAAATATCGAAATATGTCCAAAAAAAATTCATAACTCGAACAATTTTAGACTAAATTCTTGTTTCTTGGTCGCAAATTAAAGAAGGATTAATGCTTCTTATCACTAGACCAATAAGAATATGTTTAAAAAATTTTTGATAGCCAGCTGCCCCACCCGCCCGTATCAGAAAAACGAAAATATCGAAATATGTCCAAAAAAAATTCATAACTCGAACAATTTTCGACCAAATTCTTGTTTCTTGGTCGCAAATTAAAGAGGGATTAATGTTTTTTGTCACTGGACCAATAAGAATATGTTTAAAAAATTTTTTATAGCTAGCGTCAACACCCGCCCGTATCGGAAAAACGAAAATATCGAAATATGTCCAATAAAAATTCATAACTCGAACAATTTTAGACTAAATTCTTGTTTCTTGGTCGCAAATTAAAGAAGGATTAATGCTTCTTATCACTAGACCAATAAGAATATGTTTAAAAAATTTTTGATAGCCAGCTGCCCCACCCGCCCGTATCAGAAAAGCGAATAATGAAATATGTCCAAAAAAAATTCTGATTTTTTGGAAGTATGTAATATAAATTTGTATAATTTCCATTTAATAATTTCCATTTAATGTCTGTTATGCTATGTTTGTACTACACTGTAACAAATTTAGAGAATTGACGGTCACTGGAGTTGGGAGTGAACTTTTTCGAGTTAATTAGTTAGTGCGTACTAAAATAAGTCTGATTTTATTTGTAAAGATTAGAAATACTACGATAATAATTGTTTTGATACAATTAACTATTTTTTTTAAATTTAATGATGAAAAGGAATGAAAATATAAATTGTAATTTTAATTCGTGACCAATTGTATTCCTCTAATGATGAAAATAGAATGTGCACGCGCGCTTTAGCGCGCGTATCTAATGCTAGTTGTTATAATATATTATAATCATGCGTCCAATAATAAATTTAATTCACTTGGCGGGTTTTTTGAAATCTACGAAATTCACCAAAAAAACTAAAATTCTTGAATTCTGCGTAAATTTTTTTTACCTTTTTTGTAAAAAAGTAGCATTTAGTAGCTTTTTGACAAAATAAGTAGCAAAAAGTAGGCTGGACCAAAAAAATTTGTCAAAAAAGTGGAAAAGTGTGTCACTTTGAAGCCTGCAATTTGCATTGAGAAAAAGAGTACTGCTGTGATGCCTGTTTTACGCCTTAATTATATAGTATTTTGTAACGCAATTATCAACTGCCAGTAATAGTAATGTAGTTGAAGAAGAAGAAGAAAATTGTTTAAACTTACAGTGCTTAGTCTCTCACAGCCCTTAATCCATCTCTATTATATTCCAAATTCCTTTTCAATTTAAAAAAGTGTGAAACACGCACATTTACACAAAAAAAGCACTTGTAAAATAAATAAAACTGAATTAATCTCTATGAATTGAAAGTTTAAAATAATTATTCACATATACATATAGTAAAAAAATAACAAATAACAAATGACGGAAATTTGTTTCCTAAAATGCGTTTCGAGTTTAAAAAAAAAAAGAAAAAATACGCACTTTTAGATCCAACACTCCCGTAAAATTAAAAACACTTCCATGTTCACTTTAAGCAAAAATGTTTAAAATTGCTAAAAACATTATTTAAAAACATTTACTATAATTATACTGAAATCTCAATACACATAAACCACAATTAACACTAGCAAAAAAAAAACTTTAAGCTTAAATAAACACACTATTAAAGAAAAAACACTTTTTTATATTATTTTTTTAAGAGAATATTTCTACTAGTTTACGCGACTGTTCACAAGCGCGGAGAAAACAAGACTGAACATGCAACTTTTCTACGCGCGCGAGTCTACTAGTGCCGAGAGTGAGAGGTATGGAAGGAGTGGGGATGAATTCATGCATCGGCGTCGCAAGAGGTGGCGCGGACCTTTCCCAAGCGCCTCCCTTTTTACCTCTCTGATTGAAAGAATTTCAATTTTTTTCAAAAATGTTGATAAACTATGCAAATAAATTTGAGCGCGAAATTTAAATGATAATTTTCATCACAGGTTAGAAATAATAATTCAGTGTTGCCAATCGTTTTACATTACCAAGTGAGTCAAATCATTAAATATTTCTCATGTTTTGACTAGCTGCGTCAAGCGATAAAACTTCCTTAAGAGATATTTAGTTTAAAAAAATAACATATTTACCTTTTCTATCAAAGAAGATTCTTAATTTCTTCTTATAACATTTTTTTACGTATTGTTTATAAATTATTATATAAATATCTCAAAAAACATTATGTTGAATATGGCGTAAAATAGTAAAAATCCTAAAACTTTTATAATATTCGCTATACACCCAGAATTCAAATTAACAAAAACTGAAATTCATTATACATTTGTTAATTAAAAAAAATATTTTATGTTGTTGAATTCATTGTTATTTTTATCACTTTTTTAGGTTTAGAGAATACATACAGTGTGCATATAAATCAAATGTTTGTAAAAATCATGCTTTTACAAATAATAATATAAAAAGTTTTCTTCTGTTTATATAGAACATGATAAATTTAGTTTATTATAATTATTTAAAGTTTGTACAGTAGAAATTTAAAGAAATAAAAATATACAAATCTTACAATAAATTTGTTGTTTTATACTATTACAATTACACAGTATAGCAGACGCATTGGTTTCGCAACGGAATGTTTTACTTTTTATTATAATAATATATTTATTTTGTTTCCTATATCGAATGATTAAAAATACTTTTTAATTATCTCTGTCAGTCTGGCCCGCACACATTATTACACATTATTGTTGTTATTGGATAATTCAAAAAAATATAAATATATTATTTCTCTCGTGTGCAAAGGTATATATCGATGTATCGTTGTTGCGAATAATTTCATCATTTTGATTTGTCGAGTATGCGTAAAAGGTAGATGATGCTTTATAATATTTGAAACTTTTGTTATAAATTTCTTTATTGTTTGTGATTTTAAGTATATTTTTTCGTTTATACTTGAGGGGAATTGAGGGATTTTTAATGTTGATCATCATATTGTACACTGAGAGAAATGAATAGTCAGATTTTGATGTTAAAAAGATGATGTTACACGATACTATCATTATGCTACTGCCAACCATCACAGATGCTAAAAAAATATAGTTATGCTACCCCGTACTACCAAGATGTTACTCCTGATGATATTGATGGTAACGGTGACTATCTAGATAGCTGTCTGTATACGTAGCATTAAAGATGGTCACCCTAACCACAATTATGTTACCCACTACTATAAATTTCTCTCCGTGTAGGTGTCTGTATGTAAATTTTTTATACAAATCGTTCACCCCTTAAGTACAATGTACTTTTTTTATTTTAAAACCATTTTGAACGTTACACCCCATCTTTGATCACCATTGTTTTATAAATCACGCAAAAGTTGGAGGATTGTTTTGGAAACTATACACATCTAATAATTCATTTAGTGAATCAAGTGACTTTCAATTAGTAGAATTGCACTAAAACTTTTTGTAAAATTTTACTAAAAATTGGAATTATTCTACAAATTGAAAATGGGGAAAAAAGTACCAATGTATATACTTGCGGGGTGAATGAAATTTGTCTCTGTAATTGGGTATTAAAAGTGAGATTCTATATTATTTGCTTGTCATAAACAAAATCAAGTTGTTATAGGTACATTCTTTACTTGGACCTTCTCTAAACTTGAAAGAGGACTATGTCTATACCTATATATGTATTCGAATACATAGAATATATTGACAGGGTTAAAAAATTGAAAGAGTATATTATTAAAATTAAATGTACCACATGCAATTTATGATTAGAGTTTATAATTTTGATGTCGTTTTATAGTGCGAGTGAATATTTTTATGCTAATTGTGTGTTTTTATTAATTTTGATTTTTTCAACAAATGATGCAATTTGTTCAACTTGGCATTTCGTGTTGGTGTAAAATTAGTTTTACAATAGTTTGAAAATGAAATGAAAAATTATTTTTTAATTTAATAAAACTTGAAATCGTGCACGTATTGGCAATGTTGCACTTTTTGTTTGTTATAATCTTATTACAGGCTATATTGGCTATAGCTCTTTATATATAAAATAGAAAGGACTCTAACTAAACATGAGACGCATAATTAATTAATTTATTTATTAAATGAAAGAGTATATAAAGTTGATAGTAATGAGTTTAATAATGCATTTTGAAAAACATTTAATTTTTTATATAACCCATTACGATAATTATATATTTATATTTTAAAAATTGTAATCTTATAATTGAAAAACTCGAACGTTCATAGTTTTAGAGTCGTTTTTATTTATGTACATTTTTATTTTTTCTGTGCAGTTGTAAAAAATAGAATCTATTTTAGTGCATTACAGGCAGCAATGGTAGAAAGTTGGTAAATTACTTTTGGTTCACGACAAGTGAAATTTTTTAACTTTCTTTGTGCACAAACACAATTTCTCATTAAACTAATATCGTACGCTTGTAATAATTGAATGGCATTTTTTAAAAACTATACAATATAATACATTTAAACAATTTACATATATATTTATATAAAAAATATTAATAAAAAAATGTTTTTACTAATAATCTCCATATACTCTAATGAGTATAGTCGAAAACAACTTTGAATTAGTTGCTATTTGAAATGGCTGAATAGTTGATAAATAATCGAGTTTTATGTTTTGATTTAACAGTATTGGATGATGGTTTCTGATTTTTTTTTTTATGATCAAGACCTTTAATTACTACACTTTTTTTCTCGATATACTAATTTATTTGTTTTTTTGTATCAATACCTACACTTGCTAAAAACTAAACGTTTTTTCTTTTATTTATGGTACTCAACAATTTTGAAAAATTTTCCTTGTTTCATTATAAATTTGTAATTTTACATTATTTTCTATATCGTTGCCAAAGAAAATTTATTTTTAAAAAATTTTTCAAGAATAATGTCAGATACCATCGAAAACGATTAAACAAAAATTTTTTTAATTGAAATAATTGTCTTGTTATACAAAAAAATTTTGAATAAAATATGTATAAATTTAATTCTATTTAAATCTTTTCTTCTAAAGTGTTGATAAAAATCTGTCAAGCTTAAAATTTAAAAAAAGTGACAGCTACGAATGTAAAAGTTTTTGCAATGGTTATTATTTTTAAACGTTAATTAAAATGGAAATGACAATTCCATATTATTGCTGTTGGTAAGTGCAATTTATTACAGCCTTGTGCATTTTATTTAAACAATGTACCAGTTTCTATATCAATTCCACCATGCACTGTAAAAATTATGTTTGCTATAATTTAATATATACCTATATATTACAAATCATTCACCCCAAGTACAATATACTTTTTTATTTAAAAACCATTTTAAAAAGTTACACTCATCTTTATCCACATTTGTTTTAGAAATTGCGCAAAAGTTGGAATGATGGTTTTGGAAACTATACGCATCTTTTCCGTTCCGAGCAAAAACTACACGGAGAAAAAAATCAGGGCTTTGTAGCATGGAGTGGTCTGTACCTTTAGCGCATGGGCGCTTCCTTGCGGCGAAAGAACGAACTCGTACGATTGCAGCAAGGCTCCTTACTAAAATAGGGCGAGCTCTTGCTGCAATCGTACAAATTCGTTCTTTCGCCGTAAGAAAGCGCCCATGCGCTAAAGGTACAGACCACTCCATGCTAAAAAGCCCTGATTTTTTTCTCCGTGTAGACGCATCTTTGACAGTCGCTTATTTAGAAGCTCTACTTTTTTTTATTATTATTATTTTCAAGTTAATATTTTGTTGTAAATTGAATTTTTTTGCAAGTTGATGGATTAAAATGTATATTTTTTTAATAAAAATATTATAATATTATTTAGAACATTAATAATATTATAGGTTCTAAAGCGACTGTCAGTGATTCCGAGAGAGAGTTTTTGCTCGGAACCGGAGAGATACGTATAGTTTCCAAAACAATCCTCCAACTTTTGTGTGTGATTTATAAAACAAGGGTGATGGAAGATGGGGTGTAACTTTCAAAATGGTTTTAAAATAAAACGTAGATTGTACTTTGGGGGTGAACGAAATGTATAAAAAATGTATGACTGCTTATACGTTCTTTCTTTTACATTTTGTAAATTTCTATATAAGCTAATGTCATTAGCGTGTTAAAAAATAAATAAATTTACGATATAACAATGTTTAATTACATTCTGAGAATGTGCCTATTGTTTTGAAAATATTTTTATTTTTAAAAATTAAAGATTTTGAATTGCAACTTTTTTTGTTGAGGCATTTCATTTTATCTAAAAGATTAAAAATTCTAAACTAGAGATATATCAATAAAAAAGTCATGTAAATCAAGTGTAAACTGTCCAAAAGTTTGCTTAGTTAAAGTGACATTATTTGTATATCGTTACAAGTAATAAAAACACAGTTTTTTTTACTATTTATAGTCGTCATTTAAACGACTAATAATGTTTCGTCTTTATGAATTTGGTTTCAGATTGTGCCTAATAATTTATAATATGCAGCTACACCGCATAGTCATTGTTATATAGACTTAATATTAAAACGTGTATCTAATGAAGCATTGAATAATTTTCATTTCACAGAGCATCACGGGACAATCATACAAGGGAGTTGGCAATTTATTGCCATAAATGCTTAGTAATTATATGTATAAAAGTATAAAGAAGCACATTTAATTCTACTAATAGAGATGAAAATTTGTTTCCTTTGAAGCATATAATTTTCAAATTCTATCAAGGTAATCAGTCTATATATATATATATATATATATTTTTTTTTTTGCAAATGTTGGTTTTGAAAATGGAAGCCCTGCCCCAGATCGAACAATTTTGTTTTAAAATTGTATCACACAGTCATTCTCTTGCGTGCGCAGGAGAACAAAGAAATATATTAATGGACATGAAAAATTGATAGATACAGAGAGGAAAATTAATTAATTTTTTTTCTTGTGTCCATATTTAAGCATTCACACAAATCTCTTCTTTCTAAAGGCACTACCAATTATCATCGAACCATTAGCAGTTATATTGTAATATTCAAAGGCGTTAAATATATTTTCATTTCATTGTACGCGTAATCAAACTTCTGTTCCATCCTCGTCTTCATCTTCATAAAGAGGACCATTTAGATGTTTCTTTTTAGGTTTCGGAGGTGGTCTTGGGGGTACTTTTTTTTCTACTTTATTGTGTTTAGTAGTTTCTTGTGGCTGGTAATTTTCTACATCATCTACAAGTTGTAAAGAACACTCTGCAGCGCCCTCTGGTGCAGATCTATCAAACGACGTCATGTTATCATTATTGCAATTAACATTATCAACATCATTAGAATTAATATTGTTATTAGCAATAACATTATTATTATTATTTGTATTTTGTTGAATTGAATTATTCAAAATAGTGCTTGGAGAAATGGAAAAATTTCGACTACAACCGTCGCGCAATTCTGGGGTTTTATTTAATGAGATTGCAGAGCTTCCATCAGCAGTAGTTCGCCTACCGAGGTTATCGTACACTGGTTGTTCAATAATATCAATGTCTAACGGTGGTGAAATTGGTGGACCACTACTCCAACTCGGTGCTCGAGGTCGTCTGGGAATTGTAACATATCCTTGACGAGATAAAGCAGGAATAATACTGCCTCCTCCAGTTGTGCTGTATGGTGTTCCACTTTTATTATGGGGTAAAGTTTTAAAGCCACTACCACCCACAGTATAATATTGGGGTGATGGACTACTCAATGTAGCATTAAATTGCCCGTAATGATTCAAAAGTCGAGAATTATCAGGAGCTGTGGATGCCAGACTGGTTGGAGAAACACCTCGTCCACCACCACCACCACCATGGAATGCCAACAAATCCGGAGGGTATTGTCTACTACTAAAACTATTGTTACCCAACAAATATGGACTGGTCCCATGAAATACGTTTTCAAGTTCTAAAGTTGCATCGTTTATTCTGTCTTCTTCTTCGTCATCGTCATCATGGTTATTAATATCCCCGATACCATTAGCAATCATTCTTCCGACGCCGTCAGCTATAAAAAATTTCATGTATTTAATTTTTTCAACTATTTAAAATGATCATTGTAATAAAAAAATGTTTGTATTGCACAGCGCAGCATAATTGGCTTTAAAATAAAAAAAAAAAAAAAGATGACAAGCAACACGCAACCAATAAGCCAAACAACCAGATTGCTGCCAATATGTCATGCTGCCAATATAAACGAGTTGGTGAGGATTACACTAAATTTTAGTTGTGAATGTAATGAGAATTAAAAGAATAAATGTTAAATTGAAGAAAATTAAAGAAATTAAACAAGAAATGATAATAATAATGAGATAATTACTGTACAAATAAATATAAATTTGTGCTTACTAAAAAAAGAGTCGTTATCCAGTAAGGTTCTATTGAGTTCAGTCATTTCTGTTCCATGAGATGTTATTGATGGAGTGTCATACCGCCTAACCGGTTTCATAACAATTGATGTTGTTGGTTCTCCCCCAATTGGATTTACGGTAGTGATTAAAGACTTTTCAAGTTCTGCGAATCCTTGCTGCTGATCCATTGAGTCATTATTGCCGCCGCCACCACTGTCTGAACCCAGGTGATTAAATTTTTCATCAGGCAGTGCTTGTCTCCGACGTCGGCAGTAATATAGACAAAGGGCTATTATCAGTAGAAGAAGAAATAACAATGCTACGCCTAAACCCGATGCAAGAGGTAAACTGATTTTGTAATGACTTGAGCCTCCTTCTTCATCACCACCACTGAATATGTCACCACTAATAGCAAGTGTCACATTTGCTTCAACAGAACCACCTGGACTTTGAGCTATGCATATATATTCCCCTCTATCTGATGTTGTAACGTTGGGAACAGTTAAATTAACCCAGCCACCACCACTAGTGTTTTCCATTAAAATATAACCTAGTGGTTCAACAGCGCCGCCATTATTAGCACTGCTGTGATGCCGTCTTGTCGAATTATTTAATATTCGAGAACGATGAATCCAGTGAATTTGTGGTTGAGGTATGCCCACAGCTAGACAATCTAATCTGACTGATTCTCCACTTTCCACTTGGAGTTGGCGAGAGCTTGGTATAATATTTTGAATTTTAGGTTGACATGCAAATTCATCACTGCTTACTTCATCCCACTTTTTTCCATAAAGGTATGATGGATGTTGACAGGTCGTTTGCTTTGTATATAGTTTTCGTTTAATCGTCCAATCTCTTAATTCTTTTAAGAAGCAGTTGCAATTCCAAGGATTGTTATCAAGTTCTAAACTTCCAAGTTTTGGAAGCTTTTCAAATGTTGCAAGTTTGAGGTCAGTAATATTATTGCCATTTAGTAATAACGTTTGTAGACCGGGCAAATTTTGAAATGATTCTTCTCCAACTGCTTTTATTCGATTTCTTGATAAATCGACCTTTTGCAAGTATGTTAGATTGTCAAATAAACCATTTTCCAATGATTCAAGATAATTTTCATTTAAAAGTAATACTCGTAGTCGATGTGTTTCAAAAAATGTACCTGGCTCAATAAATCTGAGACTGTTTCCCGACAAATCAATTTCGATAACAATTTTGAGTCCCGTAAAGGCTTTTCTGTCTATTGTCTCTATATCACATTGCTTTAGTGTTAGTTTTTGTAGATTGACCAAGTTTACTTGACTGAATGCAAATTCATGTAAATGTACAATGGAATTATCTGTCAGATCAAGGTATTGAATTTCTGATGACAAAAAACTTGGAATTTGATCAAGGTTTTGTCTTATACATTCAGCTGTTTTTTTACCAGAAACCCACTTGCATTTACATGGTGATAGACATTCCCAATTGTCTTGTCCAATAATTTGATTGCTGCTTGCAAGCAGCAAAATTATAAAAACAAGAAAGCATTGCAATTTTTCCATTTTCATTTATAAATCAACTATAGTTGTAGTTAATAAATGCAACTTTTGTCTTTTAAAAATAAATGTTGTTGTACTGTGCCTCTGTAAAACAAAAATTATGAAATTGTTAATCTGCGATAAAGTTGTGGCACTTTTAAAGAATTGTCAAGTTTATATTGGGGGAAAAAAAAATGTTACACTTTTATTGGTATACATTTACGCACATAGTCAATTGCATTAATATTTGGGTGTGTTTTGTCAAACATTTTTAATTGAAATTTATCAACATATATATAAATAAACGCTCAACGTCAAAAAGAACCAAGTTTTGAATTGATGGGAAAATAATGTGGATGCCGCTATTATAAATGATTAATTGTTTTCAATGCATTATTTGAACATATGACGTTTGAAATAATGGAAAAATGTTTATCGGCTGCAAGAAAAGAAACTACTTTATATGTTGTAATGTCAATAATTCCTTATTTATTTTTTGTGTAATTTTGCCATTTAAAAAATATTAAATTGAATTATATGAATTACTATACTAACGTTTACACTTTTGTTCCTCGCCCTTTCTCGTGTCCAAGAAGATCTTGAATAAGAATTAATGGTAGCATTGATGTAAATAAATAATTGTCCTTTTTGGTAAGATTTCCTTCTTCTTCTTATTCCAAGCGGCATGCTTTAGTGAATATCTGAAACATTAATTTTGAATATGTTGGTGTTATGCAAAAGAATCATCATGTTGAAGCAATTGACGCTAAAAAAATTGCAAGTCAAAAAATGTTTTTATATATATATGTATTTAAAGCAGAAACAGCATAATTACACAAATCACCGCCACGTGAAACGATTCTACGGAAATTCCGTGAAGAATTTCTGCAAATATTCCACATTGTATATTTTTGTAGAGTTTTCGTCAACTTTTAAAAAAAATTGTTAAAGAGTTGGTAACAGTTTATTATATTATACTTTTTATTAATATTATTTCCTTATGATTATATTTTTTCAAGTTTTAATTTCTTTTTTATTAATTTTTCACGGAAAACAATCCTTGGCTGATAAAAATCTCTTCAAGAATATACAATGTGGAATATTTGCAGAAATTCCGTACGGAAATTCTTTACGGAATTCTATTCAGAATTTCAGTAGAATCATCGTTTCACGTGGGCATAAACTGTTTTCCTTAAAAATTTGAATTTTTATGGTGTTTATTTTTTGGGCGCATTAGACTTGGAAATCGATTCATTGCAGTTTTAATTGTAATTGTCATAAAATAGAATAAAAGACCTCCAGGGAATAACAATCTATAGCAATTCAAAATTAAAAATGTTGACAATTTTCGACTTTGAATTGCTATAGATTGTTATTCCAACTAAAGTATCAAAATTGAATAAAATAATATACTAATAATAAACCCTTGTTAAAAATGTATTTGAGTCAAGTTCATTAATTTCTCAATAATTTCACAATATGTATACTTTAATAATTTAGTACTAAACTTGATAATTTTATAATTTAATCACTAAATTTAAATTTTGTAAAAATGGTAAACTAATTAAAATTGGTAAAAATGAGAAATAAAGTATAATATCACGAGTCAATGAAATATAATTTCTTCTCCCAAAAAAATATCATTGAAATAATTTGTTTGCTCAACAAAAGTGTATTATTTTACATATGTACATATCAATTACAAAACACTCAAGAATAGTAAACTAGTCAGCATGTCAGTGGGATATAAATTTTCTGTAACAATTATGCATTAGTAACATGTTAAATGTACCTATGATGTTGCCATTTTCGTAATTTGAATAAAAAATAATGTTCTCTTTAAGAAATCTATTTTGTTGCTTTTATGTCAAACGGATATTATATGGATTATATGGAAAATTTCATCTCAAGGTTTTATTCAAGTTTTAATTAAAATTTTTATATTAAATTTTAATATAGTTTTGTATCTTCTTCCAACAAATAATAATATATTATTGACTGTTTTAAGAATATATTATTGACTTTTATTATATTGAAAATTGAGACTTTAGTCCTCAACATCAGCTTCGAGTTATCAAATAAATATTTCATTTAGGTTTCTGACGTACACAACTCTTGAGTGGTATGTTGGCTTAGCGATTTCACATTTGTGAGTTGGAAGACTATATTATGGTTTGAATTGGAAAATTTCTTCTTCTTATATGACTTTTTGTGAATACAATGTATCAGAACAACATAATTGGAAAATTTGTTTATATACGTGTATGGGTAGAGCTAGAGATGCTCTTTGACTGAATGTTTACATGTTTGCGCGTGCGCAAAATATTTATGAAGATTGTACAAACTTATACATAGTGCTTCAGGTCCGTCTCTGGGGAAAGCGGGACCTTGTTCAATCAAAAGTTTTTGTCGGGACAATGCATGCTTAAATGATTTTTTTGTTGCTTGTCTGCGCGCGCGCTGTCTATAAACATCATTTGCAAAATGTTCAAGTGCCTATGTATTTTGAATAATTATTATATTGCGTGAATATTATAGTTTGATTAATCAAGTGATAATTTTTTTTCATCTATTGAAAAATTGTAAATTACTTTGAAATAATTAAAAGCGTCCGATTCATTGCAACGAATGTAATATATAAAATGTTGTAACATTAATACAAAAACAAACTTTTATAATCAATACTTACTGATCCATAAATAAAATTCCTTTTGTGTGAGAAATTATCTCAATGGTTCATATATTCTAGCACTGTAATGATGCTGTGATACATGTTTCCTGCCTTATCGACGGATCCTTCTTCAGACTATGAAACATCTCTTGTCACTTCCAAATATTGAAACTTGTGTGTGTGTTCTTTAACCAATGCATGAAAGAAGAGATGAATCAACACAAACTGATAAACTTGATAATACTTTATAATCTTATTCACATTTGTTGGAGTAAGAAAAAAAACTTTTCCTTTTATAATGAAATAATCACGTGGGGACGCCGCAAACAAAAGTAGAGTTGAAATTAATTGAAAGTGCTTTTCTTGTTTCGCCTCAATGCGGAAGATGCTGTTAATAATCAAGTTTAAGAGATGTTATTGTTTGGAGGTTATAACCATAAAAAATAACACTATAAAAAATGGAATCTCTTCATTGATATAAATATGTATGTATATACATATGCAACTGGAACACACTCGTAAATAAAAAAAAATCGCACTGGCAAAACACACAGTATACACAACACAGGCCAGGCGGATTCACAGACTATTGCATGGGTGACTGATGGTGGTGGTTAGCAGTGTGGGTGCAACAGTCTCCATTGCGACTGGTGTAAGACGCGCGCGACCTCTATATTGCAAAACTGAACCATTCGTACTTTGCTGCTCTTCTATCACATAAAATTATCCGTTTTCTCTGTTGCTCTAGTTCTCTCATTATTCTCGTTTACTCTGGCATACTCTTCATAATAGTATGCGTTATTACTCCCATCCTCTCATTTAAAATACTTTTAATAGTTTCAATTATGCAAATTTGTTGTCTCTCATTTCTCCAATTTTGTTTTGCTCCGCACAAACTCACATTTACAATGCGCATAATGAATACGAAAAACTTGATCACTATATTTTGGTACTTTGTATTATTGAATTAATAATAAATATGCACGGAGAATGAATACTCATATATTCAATTTTGTAAAATATTTATTTTACAATTTGGGGGAAAAGTGCAACAAAGCAAAATTGTAAAATACTTGTAAAATATATTCTCTCTCCGTGTGTATATATTATATATATATAAATAGGGGAGAGGGCCCCATAAGATGGACATTTCCTATAAAATTTTTGTTTAAAGTGTGACAGAATCTTCTCAATTTTTTTATTTTTGTTGTTTGTATAGACAAAGATTTTTATGCATATTTGAAAAATAAAACCAGTTTTTTTTTCTACTGCGCACATCACCTGAATTTTTTGTCAAAAAAAGTTTTATTTCCGATTTTGCTCAAGTCGATAAAGTTATTTAAATTTTTGATTTTAGATAGGTATTTATCGTTATAATATTATTTATTTATCATATAATAATATTCTAAAATAATTTTATTAATATTTTGTTTGTATACAATTTTTTTCTGGGTTTCAAAAAATGGTGTCATTTACCCTAAGATGGACACTTTCGAGACCCTAAGATGAACACCACATTTCAATGTATTTATTTTTATTCTTTCGATTACACATTTTTTTAATAATTTTGTAAGCCTCGCAATTGAGATTTTTTTTATTTTTACCGCCATGGAATGTAGAACTATCGATAGAGAATTCGATATATCGATATATCTTAACTTGGCAAATTAAAGTTAAATATATGTTATTTTTTTTATTCTCAAGTTATATAAAATTAAGATTTTTAATAATGTTATTCCTAATAGTAAATAGAATAAAATGATTAAACATTAGTTTAAAAATTAATACAGGATGTTTATCTTTAATTTACCACACACTTTAAAGTGATTTTTAAGAAGGTGCGTCCATCTTGGGGCCACTTTTTTTTTGGTCAAAAATTTTAACAATTAGAAAAAATGCTATAAAAAATGTTCAAGTTCAAAATAAAATTTTATCTCAGTGGCCATAAGTTACCTAATAAATTGTACTTTCATTTAGTATAAAACATTTTAACATATCTTATTATTCGGTTTGGATTTTAGAGCCATCAATCGAAGTGGTGTCCATCTTGGGGCCCTCTCGCCCCTATATATTACACGGAAAATTCTAATCCTGCAAATTTCACGCCAAAAACATGTTGGACTAATATTCACGAAACTGAATTCTATTAAATAATGTGCGGTGAGTTATAAAATGGAGGATAAACTATAAAAGTTTTTTAATAAATATAGTTAAAACATGTCTAAAGTTTATTTATTCCGTATTCTTTATTTACAGTAGTATAGAGAGGAATTAATTTTTTGAATGTTTTGTCCAATTACCGAAAAGGTATTAATTTTTATGCTCTAAATATTATATTGAATCTAAATGTTAAATTAAGAATTGTAACATCTACATTTTGTAATTTAGAAAATATAATCATTAACGGATGCAGCTAAGAAAAAGTATTAAATTATGGAAAATGTAATCACTAAATGATTGAAAATATTATTATTATTATTATTAAGCTTTCATGAATCAAAGTTATATATTATTTGTAGTTTCAATCTCTGCATAAAGTTTGAAAAATCAATCAGGGGTAATCGCGCGCAGGTCTATGGAAAAACGGGTATTGTCAGGGAATTTCAAAATAGAAAAACTGTGTCAATCAATGTAAACTTAATTTAAAAGTAAAAAAATTTACTTTTACCAAGTTTGAGTTTTAAATACATGCTAAATATACTTTTTTTTCTATAGAAAAAAAAAAAAGTTTAAATGATTTATTGGAATTTTTTTTCAATGAGAACTGAGATATATTAAAGTTCAAGTTTTTTATATTCAACTTTTTAATTAAAGTGACAATAAAATAAATTTACAAAGAGTAAAAAGTGCATTATATGTTTAACGCTCCTGTTCCCACTATATATTATTCGCATATACATAAAAACAAATTTTCAAAGAAAATGATTTTGGAAAATTATATAGGTAAACATATTATATGTTTTTCATTTTCTATAGGCAAGCGTTCCTCTGATGCGCGTATAATATTTTTGATCCCTTTCAATTTTTTTATAATAATAATTTATTTTTAATTCTGTACATTAGGGTTGTTCTTCAGAACTGAATTAAAGAAATATATGGGGTAAAATTCATCAACTGCCTAGGTAAAAAAAAATGTTGTTAAATTTTTTCAAAGTTTTGCCAAAATAATGTTACTATTTTTTTTAATAAAAATGTAAATATAAATTATTATTGAATCTGATGAAATATTTTTCAAGTTGCAGAGTTTAAAAATTTTGACTTTTTGGAATACATTAATTTTTTTTTTCGATTTCAATTGTATATATTGTCAAGTTAAATTAATCAAATTAAAAATGTTAATTGATTTTTAAAGGGTTTTTCACGAGCTGCAAGCTGGTGATGAAATAAATTTTTTTTTTCAATTTGACCTTGAAATTGAAGGTCAAATTCTTAATTTCAATATATTTCAAAATCGGTTTTTTTTGTAACCTATATAAGGTTAAAGAACCAGTACTTGGACATTACAAAAAATGGAACCAAATACAAATTTAGAGAGTAACAAAAAGAATTAAAACTGCTTCCAATGTAAATGAAAAAATAATATAGGCTTTTTCTGAATGTTAGTTTTTGCGGATATAATTCTCAAGTTTTCAATTTCTAAACCAAAAAATTATACGTCACAAACTACTCAAAATCGAGTGTCCAAATTTACCTTCTGCTTTTTAACCTTAAGCACCAGCAGCACCAGTATATAGTTGGACAAAAACTTTACAGGCATTAATCTAATAAAATAATGAATGAATTAATATAAAATGACCAACTAATAAATTTAATAGTTGACAACATGATTTAATATCGAGGAGCAAACAACTAAGGATTTTGGTGTATACCTAATACAATAATTCAGGATAATTCAGGTAATTCAAGATAAGTCAAGGTAATTCACAGTAATTCACGGTAATTCAGGATAATTCAACACAAGTGTACACCATAATTCATTAGTTGTTTGCCCCTCGACTAATATACAAATACAAACATTATATGCAAATAAATATTATGCGTATTTTCTTATATATGTCCAGTTACTGGACCCCCTAAAATGGCATGTCCATAACTACATATTACGGTAAAGAAGCAATTATTATTTATTTTCTAGATTTACATTCAACTAAAATAAAAATTTAGACTAATTTCTTTTAATTTTAATCCTTTAATCATAGTACAAACGAAATAGAACAATTTTGTCAAGTAAAACTATATTATATCTTTGTAAAAGTGTTTGCTAAATTTGCTACAATTTTAAAACTGTCCAAGTACTGGTGCTTTTACCTTATACCATAATGGAAAGTTTACCTTTTTTCCTATATGAGCCACGTAAAAATCAGAGTGGGACCTTGAAAAGTTTTGCAGAAAATAATAATTTATTATTATTTTATAAAAAAAATGATGATTTATAGTTATTTTCTGCAAAACTTTTCAAGGTGATTTTTACATGGCTCATATGGGAAAAAAGGTAAACTTTTCATTATTGAGATAGGTTGTTATAAAGAAATAAAAAAAAAATTGATTTTGAAATATATTGAAATTAAGAATTTGACCTTGAATTTGAAGGTAAAAGTTGAAAGAAAACAATTTTTTTCATCACCAGCTTGCAGCTCGTGAAAAACCCTTTAAAAATCACTATCTACATTTTTAATTTGAATAATTTTACTTGACAATATGTTAAATCGAAAAAAACATTTATACACTGAAAAAAAAATTAAAAATTTTGAAACTCTGCAACTCAAAAAATATTTCATCAAATTTAATAATATTGCATACCTATTTACACTTTTACTAATTATTATAGTAATAACATTTTGGCAAAGTTTAGAGAAAATTTGACCTGGGCCGTAAAAATTAAATTCAGACCCATGTATATTTTTACGATATTCTAGAAAGGCTTGAAATTGTAAAAGAATACCATTAAAAGATTGAAATTTTTACAACTAATAAATTTAAAAGCAAATCACATTGTATCGCGCAGTTATCTTACTGGAAAAAAATTGATCAATTTGATGAAAGTTTACATCTATTACAATATCATCTCTCTTCCAAGTCCATTATTTCATGAGATAGTTGTTCGTTATTTTTATATGTTATCCTTATTTTGCATGCTGAAAAGAGAATCATATTTCTGATTTTTATAGTATACGTGGGTTCGAAAAATTTTGTTGTTGAACAACTCTAATGTATTATATAGAATGCATATAGTCTGTACGTGATAAATACCTATAGAATTGATTACGAAACATACATGTCAGCGCAGTTAAATTATTTTAGTTGTTTCATATACATATTAAATTGCAAACATTTTTATTATTCTTAGCAATATTGAAGGATACGAGATATAAAATAACAGCGTTAATATACGTTGTTCTTTAGTATACGCATGTACATACACGGGTTCGTTTCGGACTTTTGACTCTAATTTGACAAATTGCAAATAATTTTTTTTTTTTATTTACATATTGCTGCTTACTATATCAAGCTCCTTGATAGCAGCTTGAATGTGAATTTCCAGTGCTTCGCTTGCATCTATATTTGTATGCTTGTAGTTATTTAAAAAATAACATGTATCTGTAATGTCTGGAGGCATCTCTTTTGGTAGATTGTCTTTTGTTCTCGCTTCCAGTATAAATCCTGGCTTTTGCATAAGAAATCTATCAACATGTTTAAATTATTTATATTTCGGTCAAAAACTCTATATCGTTCATTAATTATAGTTTTATTACACACAAGTTATTGTGTCATAAGAATTTTATACTTACTGATACGTTGTTGGACTGATGTTAATTCTAAGTGGTTCACTGGTGGATTCAAATTTATTTGCAAGAGTTACATTATGTCCAAATAGACAATACCTAGGCATTTTTTTTCCAACTACTCCCGCTAATACCATTCCTGTATGGACACCAATTCGCATCTGCGTAAAACAAAAGTAAAATTTTTTTTCATATAATAATTATATATTTCTTCTCTTTCATTATGTTACTCTGTGCGCGCGATTACTTTAACATAAACAGTTTTTGTTATAAAAATTGCGGCTGTAATCTTGGTTCAAATTAAAAGAAAATTTACATAGTGATAATTTTTAATATTATTATTGAAATATTGCTTTGATGGAGATCAAATTCGTTATACCTTTATTGGTTTACCGTCATGAGTATGATGTTGTGAGCATGTTTCAATCATTTTCAGTGCCATCCAAGCAATTTGTTGGGCATGTGTATTTGTATTTCGATGAAGCCCGCAAGCTACACAATAGGCATCACCGATTGTTTCAACCTACATTTTTTGGAAAAGAATTTATCATGTTTGAGTAATGGAATTTTATATTGCTATATATTGTTCAACATTATTCTCGATATTTATGTAATTACACTGAAAGAGAATAATATAGCAGGTATATAGGGAAACTAAATAATAATGTTTGGTAATATGTACCTATATATTTTTTCAGTGTAAATACATTATAGCAAATGATTGTATACCTTATAAACATCAAGTTGTCCACAGTAAATATCAAATTGTTCGTAAAGATTTTGTAACATATTAATAACCATCATTGGAGTTGCAGTTGAACAAATTGCTGTAAATCCTACAATGTCACTAAAAAGCATGGTGACATCGGCATAAGTTTTGGCTTCAATTGTTTCTCCTAAGCATGTAAAAATTAATTATTTTCCATCAATATCTAATCAATCTAAATACTTGATTGACATTTTAGTACCATATCAGTGAACAATTTAAGCATGTATTATGGAAATCTGTTTAAAACTGAGGATGGGATTAGAGATTTCAATTTTATTTTTAGTCTGCCATTTTTAATTATTTAAAGACAGAATTGTTCATAGTTTTTCATATTTTCTGTTCAACACACACACACATAAATATGTAAAATATATTACAGTTTTTAATAATGTGTAAGTTCAATAATAATAATTTAACAAAAAAATAAACATTGTGAATATCTTGATGTATTACGGTCTCATATTGTCAAGTTGTTACTAAAAAAGAAAGCAAATAGCAAAACATGCTTAATTGATATTATGTTGATCGACATACCTAACCAAAGTCTTTTAGCTATATCTGGAGGAAATATAAGATGAAGAAGACTAACGTTTTTTTCTCTCTCCGTGTCTACTGCACAATTTGCTTCTTCAATAGAACTCTTTAATTTATCCATACGTCGCCGTAAACCATCCTTAATAAAAATTAATTCATCTATAGGTTTCATTTTAAATGATGTGTATAATGTAATTTACTGCAAAAATGAATTTCTTAATATTCTCTTAATATTGTTTATGCTTTCCCTAAAATTCTTTTTAAAACAAAAAAGTTTTTATTAAAGCTATAAAAAACTGTAGGTTCTGTTTTTATCAATTTTTTAAACTTTTCTTCTTTTTAGGGTAAATATTTAAAGTTATACTCTGAAAAATTTATCATATACGAGAAAGAAGAGATTAGATAAAAAAAAAAGTCTCAATCATCATTGAACCAGCACACGCATTTCTCATTTATTATTATATATATATATATATAAAAAGAACTTGCTATTCGCATCAAGTTGTTCATATAGTTTTGCTCTTATATTTATGTGTATACACTGAGAAAACTGGAGTATTGGACTAAACATCTGGAGGGACAAATCGTTGATATTTGAGAGTTAGCTATTGGATAACAATCTAAATGTTCAAATACACCATTGACAGATATTCGTGCCATTTCTCTTGGAGGGAAAATGAGTTTATAACAGAGGGACAAATTAACCATCTTGAGAAATCCCTTCCTTATCCGACGCGAAATGAATAAATATGGCAACCTAACCCCCAAAATTAAATACATAAAATGTCAGAAAAATAATTTCGCGCGCATCAGATCGTACACATTTTCTGCGCAACTTTTAACCTTCAGATATAATGGGAGAGAATATACAAGTAGATTTCCATTACCAATTTAAAATTTATTTTAGAAGGACTATTTAATTCTCTTCATAAGCAAAGGAAACATACACTTTTTGAACCTCTGAATTTGACACTCCAGTTTTCTCAGTGTACACATTTTTCAACAATAATATATAAGAATTGACTTTGAAATAATATCGTAAAGCAAATTTGCTTTCATCACCAATTTCCAGCTATAATACATTACCGAAATAGTACACTTTCCGCAGTAGGTTTCCGGTATAGTAATTTTGTTGTGCAAACCAGCGGTGGAAAGTTTTGCGTTTTTGCTGCGTTTTATCTTTGAAAACTTTATGTATGAATATAGATCTGCATTTACAATGTTTAATGGCGCGCAATTACCTGTGCCCTAGCTTGTTCTCCAACTAATATTACATCTCTTGTAGCATCATGAAGAGGAATATCTGAGATGAACAATCCTCTACCGGTTAATCCTTCTAATGCATTAAGAAAGGGTGATCCAACAAAAAGAATAGATTCAGACTCCGGACAGTGAACCATTTGGCCTTTAAATTCCAATCCCTGTTGAAAAAATATTTTTAATAATACATTCGTAAAGTTATAGACAGTTTTAATAAAAAAAAAAAAAAACTATAGGATATGAGGAGCTGTATCAAACAACTCGCTCGACGCGCGCGCGGTCAAGATATACTTTTGTGGCTGTCAATATCAGTGAAATTATGCAGATTTGAAATTAAAAAAGTTTTCTTTTTTTGTACACTAAAAAAATCTTGTTTTTAAAATTTCAACTACTGAATAAAAATTCAACAAAGAAAGTTACTATATATTGTACATTTTTAGTTTTTTTCAACTACTTCTTTTGATGGTTAATACAAATTTTTAATTTGATTGGGGATTTATTGTACCAAGCAGAATATAGTTAAAAGTAGTCAAATCTACTAGGAATTTTTCTGGTTGTAAAATTATGTCTTCTTCTTGGTTGCGGTAAATGCAAGTTTCTTTTCCCTAAATTTGCAACAATTTTTATTATTATTATTATTTATTAATATATATACTAACCTCTGTTTGAAATTTATCCGCACTTTTAGGTTTTTGAAGTGCAAGGACGAATGGAGTATTGGCTCTTTTGAGAATTTCATGAAAAGTGAGTGTCACACCTTTTGGTCTCGTAAATACGAAATATGTTGAGATATCTCTGCCAATACTATTTAAATGGTGTCCGAAAATTCGCATAAATCCAACACCTAGTTGAACAAGTTCCAGTTGTCTATCCACTACGAAATGCCACGGAAAAGCTTTGCAAAAACTAGCTACCCCTATTCTAAGGTCTTTTGCCTCATTTGAAAGTTGGCAGAAATGTGGTGACGCAACGTCCAAGTCATCGTCAATAACTAAATGTTCAGCGTAGCGCTCTGGAGTTATGCGATACCTAAATGAAACATGTATAATATATAATTAAAATTCTTGACATGTGATTGCAACGTTATTACTGTAATTTTACTATATAATATTATAGAAATATGGCCATCGCAGGTCGATATTATTTTAATATTACTGTAACATTTCATGCTAGTTGCTTATTTTGCTGAAAGATTTGAAATTATGATACCTACTTCTTATATTAGAGAAAACCCCGAGTTTGATGATATAATAGCGCAATTATAGCATTAGCTATCCCATGTTAATTAAAAATTATAAAGATGTGATTATTTGTTGTTTTAATTAAGATAAAATAATTCATAGTAAATTACTCGTATAATACAACTTTTGTAGTTATTTAATTTTCAAACAGATGATTAAAAAATCTGGACCAATTTTAGAAAATTTCAATCATCTCCTAAAATAAAATCGACCAAGTTGTTCCATTTCATGCGCAGATGTACACACATATATTATTCTAGTCAAAGTATTATAGACGGAAAATATCTTGGTATTTAAAGGGAAAAGAAAAGAATGATGAGAATAGAAAAAGTGCAAGTGTTAATATTAAAAAGTGAAAAAGAAAAATTTAAATTATAAAAAGTGTGTACACTCTAATGCACTTAAAACGCCATTTTTACACTTATTACCAAAATTCACAGGGTATTGCTGAAAAAAATATGCATGAAAATATGTAATATTTTATACCTAAAAAATTTGATGTTATAGGGATCTGGCAATATGTACACGTCTGTTTTGTCGTTATAAAACTGTCTGGCAATGCCTTTAAGACTTCCGACTAAAAGGTATGCAATGGACGGGTGATCAGTAGTAAAATGAAGCTCCAATGCACCTGGGGTTGCTATACACACGAATTCAGCTTCGTTGTCAGAGCCCGACTGATGTTGTACAACATCGTTAACACCATCTAAGGTTGTTAGAAAAGCCATTAAATCATTACCTAAACATCGGAAGGCTCGTTCTAATAAGCCTACACACGCAGTTGCAATTACATTTTGCCCAAGGTGATCTAGAAAATCGTTTGCGTCAATATCTGTAAAACAATAAAAAACAATTTAGATTTTTAAATTGAAAATAAAAAAAGAGAAATTTAAATAACCTATTGATACCTAAATAATACATATATTATATGTGTGTGTGTGTGTGTGTGTGTGTCTTTGTTTATTGTTGTGGAAAAATGAATATTTAACAAATTATTATACCTAATAATACTTGAACTTTTTCATATTTTTTCAATAATAATAATAATAATTGTTATTATAAATTAAAAACGACTTTAAATTATAAAATAATTGTTTTATAGTTGCGGATTTTAAGGTCTTAAACTGACCGTCTAGATAGCGTCTGAAAGATACATTCTTTACATAATATCTTTATGCAGGTAAAGATAAATTAATAAATTTTTATTTCACTAAATTGAATACTGACATTTCTTCTGAAAATTTAAGATAGGAGTAAAGACTATAAAGCAAACGAATAATTTGATTGAATTTAATCTACTTGTTATTTGGAAATTTTTACGAGGATTCTACTTTCGAATTGATTCTAAAAATTCAATGGTGTGTATGCAGTTATAAAAATTTATAATCGCAGGAGTGACACACTGGCTCTCTGCGATTTGAGCCGCAATAATTTTTTGTCTGAGAATTTTGTTGATAAATTTGTAAAATGTGTGGTCCATTAGGCAGTGATATAGTATATAGTTGAAGTCTTCAACTATTGTTTCAACCACTTGGTATATACTTTAGAACATCTAGTTATAATTGAGAGGCATTCAATATAGGCGTTGGGTCAGATTGACTATTTAAAAATACAAGTAGGTATATTTTTAAAAATTAACATTTTGTTATTAATGCATTATTTTGTTTTTAATTTATTAATTAAAGCGAGATAATTGAGTAGAAAAGTAATTGCTCAATTTTTTCTATATACATAAAAGCACTCTTACATAATTATGTGTAGGTATAATAATTATGAATGTTGGGAGAATGAAGCACCAGAAAAATTTCTCGGAATAATAGAGAGAGAGAGAGAGGAAGAAGCCTAATAATGTCGGATAATTTTCAAAGTCTGGGCAAAGAAAGATCATGAGAACAGAAGGTTTCTTATATGTATAAGTGATCTCTATATTTGTGCTATGTATATAAAGGTAGTTTTATAAATAAATTCTTCATATTTTTTTATAATATAAGCAAACTGAACAAATTTTTTAAAATCATCGAGCAACCAGCTCTAAAGTACATCTTTCAGCAATACTGTAGCCTAATCATATACGGTAACATGGATTACTACTATGCAGTTCAGTGGTGTGTTCAACAAAAAATCTCAAATAAAAATGTCAGTGGATCTAGAAATAACAAGTTATATGTATTATCGTCTTTCTTAATGCTTCTAATCTTATTACAATTAGATGGCGAATTCGATTTTCATCTTGCTCATCTCCCACTAATTTGAGTTGGAGATGAAAAGGAAACGCTTATAATCATCCTTTTTCCTATTCCAAGTTTACTGATGCTGCTGCTGCTGCTCTTTCTAGTATCTATGTATATAGTGAAACATTTTTACACAGTAAAAACCAAGTCTTAAATTTAATGGTGGCTAGTTTTAATTTTTGACTTATCTTAAGCTATCAACTTTATTTAATCATAAAAACTAACTGAAAATTAAAGTTAGTTGTACTCTTACTTAAATAAAAATCAGTTTGTAATTTATTTGTAATACACTGGACTTAATTTCAGATCCAATGGTATTAATAAAAAGTTGGATGAAATTAACTTCTAATAAAAGGTACGCTAACAGCTGACTGTAAGTCTGGCGAGGCTGAAAAAGTTGATTGTGACGTCACAAGGGACGCAATTTGCAAACGTGAAAAGTCTGAATAGCGCGTCGCGTCGCCGGTTTACTTTTGACTCGTGTTTTATTAATAATATATAAGTCCATAAATTATATTTATAATTGGTGAATCTTAGACAGAAAGTTTAGTTTTATTAGTATGTTAATATTTTAATTCGATTATAAACAAGTTTATAAACATTTTATAATCTTAATTTCACCTAATATATATGTGCATTAGCATTTAATTCTTTATCTTAAAGAGAGAAATTTCCACTGATAGTTTTAATAATTGTTGTTTGTTATAAGAAATTAAATGTGACATATGTTTATTTTAATAAAATTCAAGAATATGAACATACACTGTAAAAACAAAGTCTTTCTTTAAGGCGGTGTCAAAGTCGATTGGATTTTTGCATTGAGCTTCAATGGAAAAATCGTATCGACTTTGACACCGCCTTTAAGCTCGAAATTTGTCTTTTTTCAAGGTGTAAACGGAAGACTCCCCAATTGATACAAGTAAGGTGTTAAATAAACTGAAATTCAACTGTAAGCTTGTAAGAAGGCTGAAATTTAGCTAGATGGTTTGGCTGAATTTTAGCCTTCTTACTAGCTTACAGTTGAATTTCAGTTCATTTAACACCTCACTTGTATCAATTGGGGAGTATTCTTTTTAAACTTCTAATCATTACTGACATTCAGCCAATATGGTCTACTTCCGTTTACACCTTGAAAAAAGACAAATTTCTGGCTTAAAGGAAGACTTTGTTTTTACAGTGTTTTATTTAAACCAAATAAAAAGTCTAATTGGTTCTGAGACAAATATACCATCTCTCTGGGTGTGAGAATCGTTTAAAAAGCATTTCCATATATTTCTATACAAGTATTTAGGGACAATCGAGGTAGGATGATAATAGTTTTTACTACAATAAGAATATAAATAGTGTTATTTTCTTTATCTGTTGTTGTAAATTTTAGGTAGCAAAAGTTTGATTATTATTGTGGAAAGAGTACTATTTGATGTTAAAAAATCATAAATTAGAAAATGTGAAAATGTATGTGTTTATAATACAACTGTTAAATTTGCAGCTAAAGACCAGCAGTAAATATAGGCCATCACCCAAGCTTCAACATCGCCATTAAAGTATTCCATTAAAGACATTTTAATAGTTATTAATAATTAAACAATTGAACTCTATAGCAATTCTATAATATATAATGTATATCGGGCGTAGCTAAAGTATGGAACCCCTTAAATATTTCTAAAAAACCGACAGATTGGCTCAGTCGGATAGATGCCTGGCGTTGGTGGTCGTTTAAGGACCAAGGGTATAAGTACCCTTGGTTCGCGCCCACTTGGCTTGGTATTTTTCCGGCACGTGAGACAATCTGAGCGGGAGGTTTGACGTCGATGAGGTATAATGATGTGCACCGTCGATTATTGTCCGGTACATACCATTAGAACTCAACTGTCGATAAACCGGTTGTACTCGGAGAGATTTTCTACAGTTTCCCTCTCCACTGGCGAGAAAACTCATTGACGGGTGTTCCAGGCGTAATGCGAGTACTCCTAATAAAAAGTCGCTCTGTAGACGCAAAATTAGGTTAATATATATAGAAAATTTCTAAAGTAGAATGATGGTTATGCTTAATCCAAAAAAGTATTTCTCGGGGACTCTTGTTAAAGTGCGTAAGGCCAATAGGGCAAGAGTATAAACAATAAAAAAAAAAAAAAAAAATATTTCTAAAAATTTGTATTTTAGGGTAATTTATTTTAATTAGGTGATATTAATTTTAATAAATTGCCCAACAACATTTGTTTCAAACATTTTACCCTACTATATATATTTTGCAACTTGAACAGATCAATGTCTTTTCATAATTATTAGAATGTTTCGATAACCATATACCTCGATTGTCCCTACACGGAAAGAAGGGAATAGTTGATACATCCAGATATATGGACAAAAACTGTCTTTGACTTTTGAATTTTGTCAATTTAATTTAATAAACTCTTCTAAAAGTTGATTTTTATTCTTATATGATGCATTATCAATAAATAAATAAATAAAAGGAACTTTTACTTTGACAAATCTTCTCCACCATATTACGTTACAAATTGTTGTAATATAAAAGCTAAGCTGATGAACGAGGTGTTGGAAGAATTTAACCTTTCCGAAGACTATGTCTACTTATAGTAAACGTTATGCTATAGTTTATAAAAGAGGCATATAGGTTGCTTTTTGGGTTATAAGCAAATAAACTTTTTTGAACCCATAATGAATCGATTTTGTTCTCTGAACAGTCTAAATGTTTTGTAACATTAATGTTACAAAAAAAGTAACAAAATTCCGTCTAAACAAAATAATTTTATAAATTTTCTTTCTAACATTATACTGTGATATTACCTTGTGACGTACATTTTAATATCACTGCAATGTAACATTGTAATATTTCCAACATTCCATGTAACATTGCAATAATGTTACATGCCACATGAGTATATCTCAGTCAACCTAAAATAAACAAAAAATTGGACATCTGAGATGGCATAAGGTAAAAGCACCAGTGAGTCATTTTATATTAATTAATTCAATATTTAAATAGATTAAGGGGGGTGGGGTATGGTCTAAACGATATGAAAAAAAGCATGCTTTTAAGAATTTTTTTTGTCGATACGCAGAAAGTTAATTTATTTTATCGCTTTGCATATAATATTGCAACATTTGAACAATATTTCTCTAAATTTTAATTAAAAAATATTAAGAATTGAGCAACCGATGGTATAGCTCGGTTGTCGGAACTCGTGGCTTGCGATCACAGAGGTTAAGCACCATTTGAGCGCGGTTAGTGCTTGGATGGGTGACTTTCTGTGACAGTCGCTACAGTCTCGGTTTTTTCACTGATTGAGATATTATATCAAACGGGAGGTTTGACGCCCGAGGCTATGTTTGTGCATTTGTGATGGCTATCCAAATGTACATTCATGACTCGACGTCAATAAACCACGGTTGTACTCGGGAAGTAGGTTTTCTGCAGTTTTCCTCTCTCCTGGCCAAATGTCCAGGCAAATGCAAGTACTCCTAACCCAAGTCGGCTGCAGCCGCAAAAGTAGGGACCCCAAGAGTTTGTGAGTTAGAAAGAGTTTAGTAGTGATGTTGAGGAGATTGTAAAGCTAAAGACCCGAAAGGGTGTACAATGAAATCATACTTTAATACTTTATTAAAAATTGAGCGAGATAATAATATTTTTCTCAGGCACCTCAAAAAAAATTGATTTGCGGTGTACACTCTAACTCGCAATAGAATCATCTAAAACAAAAAAATCAAAGTGCATTTGTTAAAGGAGATGTTTTTTGAGGTGACGCTGGAAGGAATTTTGTTTTTTTTTTGTTAGATTTTTTGTAGCACTTGAAAGCCAAAAAGTCGATTTTCGCTATAATAAAATCGATTAATTTGTTATTGTAAAATTGGTAATTTAAAAAAAAGCTCCCAGCGTTAAATAATAAGTGTGAAGTGAATTGAATAGTAAAATTTTTAGTCAGGGATAACCCTATGCACCAAAAGGTACAGATACTCTCCCAAACATTTTTCCGTGAGCGTACACCGCAAATCAATTTTTTTTTGAGTCGCCTGAGGAAAATCTCATTATCTCGCTCAATTCTTAATATTTTTTAATTAAAATTCAGAGAAATATTGTTCAAATGTTGCAATATTATATGCAAAGCGATAAAATAAATTAACTTTTTGCGTATCGCTAAAAAAAAATTCTTAAAAACATGCTTTTTTCCACCGTTTAAGAAAAGCATTACTTTACATGCCTGTAAAGTAGGCGCAAAACAGTACTTTGCTGCACGAGTGCGACAAAGTACTTTGTCCAAAAATTTCGAGTTTTTTTTTGGTGATATACATAGGTATTCGTTTTCTATAGGTAGAATACCTGTTTTTACAGTAATATATACAGTTTTTTTTTACCAAAACCAAAAGGTGTTGCACAAAGTACTGTGTGCAATACGTATAGGAAAGAAGATTTTCCGACCTCGTGCAAATTCTACAAACTTTGCACTAGTCGGAAAAGAGCTTCTTTCTGATGTACTTGTTGCACAATATACTATTTTGTTACTGTTCATCTATTGGTTCCATTTTGGCAATGTCCAGGTACTGGTGCTTTTACCTTATTCCTTAATTATTATAATTCGTATGACATATATGTTTCAGCTTCCAATATTGACGAAATATAAAATCCAATATACCACCATGACTTGTTCACCTCACTTTTATCTGCGTTCTTTAAAAATATCCTACTACTTATTTATTGTTCCTATTATACAAGTCCACTATCTACATTCATAATTCTTTTTATTTGGTAAAAACTTACCGCATTTATCATTGAGAGTCTCATAAATGTCTTCCAATAGGTTGTAATTCTCTTCAATTTCAATATTGCAAAGGAGTTTTTCTCTAAAACATAAACATTAATATTATTGTAAATCTTTTTTAGAAAATTATTTTTACATGCGTTTATATGCAATAAGGATTATTTACAATTAAATATTTAATATTTAGAAACGTTTATAAGGAATTAATAAAGTTGATTAATCATTTACGCATAAAAACAGGTTTCTTTAGAAAATTCAAATTTTAAATCATTAAGAAAAATAGTTTTTTCTATGTTTGCTGTCCTATCCTTTTGAAGAGAATTTTGTTTGAATTTTTTAATTTATATAAAACAAATTGCGAAAGTGAACTAAAATAGTAAAAAAAAAATTCAAACAAAACTCTCTTCCTGTAATATATGTATAACAATTTCCAAAAATAATTTTCGCGATAATACTTTTTTATCAATCAGAGCAGTTTATATACGTATATATGTTTACCAATTCTGCACCAGAATTAAACAAAATTTTTAATTTGCCAAGAGAGTATTATAATATTATTTTAATTAATGAAAAAAAAAAAAAAAATGTTCAACTATCTGCATACTTTTGATTCAGTTGAAGGGAAGAATTTATATTTGTAAAATGTTACTGTAATTTATACTTATGAAAATAAATGATTGGCTGTTTGCTAGTTTTTTAAATTAAAAGAGCTTGAAATACTTACAATGATGTAGAAATTGTGAATGGAACTTGATTTTTGCTTAAGAAAGCCTCTAGAGCGACAGCAATGACTTCATTCTGTAATAAAAAAAATTTGTACATTATCAATTCATTATAGGGTTATTGAACCTTTTAAATAATAACCATTTATCTAGTATTCATTTTTTGTAATCGTTAAATGGTTGAATTTTGTGGGTGGATATAATTATAGATAAAAGTAAACAGCCAAGTAGGAACCGTTTCTTACCGATGGATTTGTTAGCATAAGTACAGCGGCACGCAAATGTTTAAGGTTGAGCGTCTGGGTATCCTCTTCTTCGTCAATTTCCTCACCAAGCAAGGACGAGGTAATTTGCACTGAAGATTGTCTAAACGGCTTGAGCTTATCATCTCGTCTTCCTCGATTATATCTCGGATGATCGTCTGTAACGTCTTTTCCTTCTTCTTCTTCTTCTTCTTCTTCATTTTCTTTACAACTAGTTATTGCAAACGATTGTGAAAAAGGACAAGCCATTTCGATTCTTGTTTTTAGTTATGCATTAATTCAATTAATATAAGGTGACTTTTCCTATTGTGGTGTTTTAACACCTATTAAGGTGTTATAGCGAGTCCTTTTTATTAGTTAATAATACCATTATCTTTCCAAAACTCTACATAAACAAATAGCTGTCTATATATTATTATTATTATTATTATTTAAGGATTGTTCCAGATGTATGTATATGTATACATATCTCGTGAAGGAAATGAAATTCTGTCACTGATCATCAACTATATATCCAGGAAGCTATGAGAAGGGGCTTTAGAACACTTGAACTCACACTTGCACCCACATTCTTTTTGAAATTCATTATTGTAGTTTCTTCTCGCGCACATTCACAGTGAATAGCAATAAGTGAGATTAATGCCTAAATGATGTAATGATGGACTGATTATTTTAGAGAATAATAATAATAATAATATGGGGGTGGTGTGCGATACCGTCTTGGAGCGCGTAGCGCCATACTGAAAGTTGGAAATTGAGCCGAGTAACCAGCAGCAGCGCCATGTGATGTGGGAGGGTGAATTGAACGGATGCGCGAGGAGAATTTAGTGAGAGCGACAGAGTGAAAGATTGAGGGACAGCAATAGGAAAATAGTTGGAGAAGAACCGATATGATTGCGAGAGTTGAGGGGTTGAATGTAGAAAGGGAAAAGAAGGGTTTGGGTGGTGCAAACGCAAGCGCAAAAGTTCATTTTATTTGCTTCACTCTTGTATTGCTATCTTCTTCTTATGGCTGCAACGTGCTTTTCCAACTTTCTCTACCCTCATCTCATCGTTTCTTGTCTCGAATTGTGCTCTTCACTATGTACTTACTCAAGACACCCGAACACAACTCTCGCTTACTTGGCCTCGCGCGCGACCCTTCTTTCCCTCTAATTTTTCAGGTCAACGTAGTGTTTCTTACCTACATTCTGCTTGTTCTGCTTCTCAGTCAGCGAGCGGCTTGTCATGACATTTTAATGCTTTTACCCAGAAGGTATTTTTAGATATTTAAAAATATGTATGCCAAGAGTTTTTAACACACCCTCTTAATTATTATTATTGTTTTGGTTTTCAAATTTAAGAGAATTTTCACTTGGAGAGGTTTTCATTTAAAATAAATATTTCAAATTAATTCTTATACCATCATCGCGCTAACTGTCAAGTATTCGTATCAAGATATTATAAAGTCCCAGGTGGAAAAATTCGCGTGAGTTTCTCACGTGAGACTCGCGTGAGTATCTCACGTGAGATTCGCGTGAGATTCGCGTGAGTATCACAAAAAATTTGCTTGAGTATCACATGAGTATCTCACCCTACAGACTTACGCGAATTTGTGCCGATATTGCATAGCAATATTGCAAAAATTTCCGAACAATGTACACACAACATTGACTCAACATTAATTATGTTGACGCAACATTGGCAGGTTATCAGGTTAATAAGGAATTTATTAGGCCATGCGGCCTACTTTTGACCTGTATATAAAAATTGTCCAAAATTGGTATAAATAAACACTTATCGTAACGGTTCTTTATGGTGCCCATATAGGTCCTTCTTTTGCCTGGTAGGTAAAAAAGTAGGTCATATTTTGCCTTTTGGGAGAGGGGACCATTATAGAATCTTAGGCAGTTATAATATATAAAAGACAAATAATATATAAAAGTTAAAACTTAAGTCAAATTAGAGCTACAAAATATTGTCGCGCCAGAGTCAGGGATTTTAAGGGCCCCTCTTGAGGGCCGTCACGTTACGTCAAAATGTAGGTAATGTTGACCTACTTTTTACCCACAGGTCAAAAAGAGGTCCCATCAGAGCTTTTTAAAGGGTCGTTACCATAGGTCAAAATTGAGGTCACATTTGACCTATTTTTTAACCTACATGTAAAAAAGGGTTCCTATGAGGGCTCTCTATGAAGTCAATAAAGTTGGTATAAAATCATCTATTTTCATACCAAATGATTTTTATTTCATCTATTTTTTATCATTATTTAATTTTCATGATCTATTTTTACAAAGTTCGATTAACCATGTCAAAATAGTTACGAATAATTAAAAAATAGGAATCCCCATCCATGTCAAAACTCTGGTTTAAAAAACACAAATTTCTTTACCCAGGCCCAACATGGAAAATAGTTATAAGCTATTTAAAAATTGTAGAAATCCTCTTCCATGCCAAAATTCCAGCTTAGAAAACACTGTCTCTCCCGAGACACAACCATGGCAAAATAGCTCAAAAATAGTTGTAAACTATGGGGGTGAGGGTGAATAAAATGTAAACGTGAACTAATAGTGAAAGTGATATTGAGGATCGAGTTAAAATGAGGGTAAATTAAATGTAAGTGTGAAGTAATAGTGAAAGTGAGAGTAAAATGAAATTTAGGATGGAGTTAAAACAAAAGTGAATTAAATGTAAGTAGGCGTGAAAAGAAAGTGAGGGTGAATTAAATGTAAGTGTGAAGCGATAGTGAAAGTAAGAGTAAAGTGAAATTGAGGATGCAGTTAAAGTTAGGGTAAATAAAATGCGAGTGTGAAGTCAAAATAAGAGTGAGTGTATAGAGAAAGTGAGGGTGAATTAAATGTAAGTGAGTAAAAGTGAGTAAGTAAAGTTGAAGTAAGAATAAGAACGAAGTTAAAGTGATGTTAAATTAAATGTAAGTGAGAAATGATATTAAAAGTGAGAGTAAAGTTAAATTAACTTTGGAGTTAAAGTGAGGGTTAATTAAATGTAAGTGTGAAGAAAAAGTGAAGGTGAATTAAATGTAAGTGTGAAGTGATAGTGAAAGTGAGAGTATAGTGAAATTAAGGATGGGTTTAAAGTGAGGGTGAATTAAATGTAAGTGTAATGTTAAAGTAAAATTGAGGATAAAGTTGAAAATGATAGTGAATTAATTGTAAGTGCGAAGTGATAGTAAAAATGAGAATAAAGCGAAATTGAGGATGGGTTTAAAGTGAGGGTGAATCAAATGTAAGTGTAAAGTGAAAAAAAGAGTGAGTGTAAAGAGAAAGTTAGGGTGAATTAAATTTAAGAGAGTAAAAGTGAGTGTAGTTCAAGTAAGAATTAGAATCAAGTTAAAGTGAGGGAGAATTAAATGTAAAGGTGAAGTAAAATTGAGAGTGAGTGTGAAGCGAAAGAGAGAGTGAATTAAATGTACGTGAGTAAAGTTCAAGTAAGAATGACAATGAAGTTCAAGTGAAGTACAATTGCGAGTGAACTAAATGTAAGTAAGTGAAGTTGCAGTAAGAATGAGGACGAAATTAAATTGAGGGTGAATTATATGTAAGTGTGAAGTGAAAATGAGAGTGAGTGTGAAGAGAAAGTGATGGTGAATTAAATGTAAGTGAGTGAAGTTCAAGTAAGAATGGCAATGAAATAAATGTAAGTAAGTGAAGTGGAAGTAAGAATGAGGACGAAATTAAATTGAGGGTGAATTATATGTAAGTGTGAAGTGAAAATGAGAGTGAGTGTGAAGAGAAAGTGCGGGTGAATTCAATGTAAGTGAGTAAAGTTCAAGTAAGAATGGCAATGAAGTTCAAGTGAAGTACAAATGCGAGAGAACTACATGTAAGTAAGTGAAGTGGAAGTAAGAATGAGGACGAAATTAAATTGAGGGTGAATTATATGTAAGTGTGAAGTGAAAATGAGAGTGAGTGTGAAGAAAAAGTGCGGGTGAATTCAATGTAAGTGAGTAAAGTTCAAGTAAGAATGGCAATGAAGTTCAAGTGAAGTAAAAATGCGAGTGAACTACATGTAAGTAAGTGAAGTGGAAGTAAGAATGAGGACGAAATTAAATTGAGGGTGAATTATATGTAAGTGTGAAGTGAAAATGAGAGTGAGTGTGAAGAGAAAGTTATGGTGAATTAAATGTAAGTGAGTGAAGTTCAAGTAAGAATGGCAATGAAATCAATGTAAGTAAGTGAAGTGGAAGTAAGAATGAGGACGAAATTAAATTAAGGGTGAATTATATGTAAATGTGAAGTGAAAATGAGAGTGAGTGTGAAGAGAAAGTGATGGTGAATTAAATGTAAGTGAGTGAAGTTCAAGTAAGAATAGCAATGAAATAAATGTAAGTAAGTAAAGTGGAAGTAAGAATGAGGACGAAATTAAATTGAGGGTGAATTATATGTAAGTGTGAAGTGAAAATGAGAGTGAGTGTGAAGAGAAAGTGCGGGTGAATTCAATGTAAGTGAGTAAAGTTCAAGTAAGAATGGCAATGAAGTTCAAGTGAAGTACAAATGCGAGAGAACTACATGTAAGTAAGTGAAGTGGAAGTAAGAATGAGGACGAAATTAAATTGAGGGTGAATTATATGTAAGTGTGAAGTGAAAATGAGAGTGAGTGTGAAGAGAAAGTGCGGGTGAATTCAATGTAAGTGAGTAAAGTTCAAGTAAGAATGGCAATGAAGTTCAAGTGAAGTACAAATGCGTGTGAACTACATGTAAGTAAGTGAAGTGGAAGTAAGAATGAGGACGAAATTAAATTGAGGGTGAATTATATGTAAGTGTGAAGTGAAAATGAGAGTGAGTGTGAAGAGAAAGTGATGGTGAATTAAATGTAAGTGAGTGAAGTTCAAGTAAGAATGGCAATGAAATCAATGTAAGTAAGTGAAGTGGAAGTAAGAATGAGGACGAAATTAAATTGAGGGTGAATTATATGTAAGTGTGAAGTGAAAATGAGAGTGAGTGTGAAGAGAAAGTGATGGTGAATTAAATGTAAGTGAGTGAAGTTCAAGTAAGAATGGCAATGAAATCAATGTAAGTAAGTGAAGTGGAAGTAAGAATGAGGACGAAATTAAATTGAGGGTGAATTATATGTAAATGTGAAGTGAAAATGAGAGAGAGTGTGAAGAGAAAGTGATGGTGAATTAAATGTAAGTGAGTGAAGTTTAAGTAAGAATGGCAATGAAATAAATGTAAGTAAGTGAAGTGGAAGTAAGAATGAGGACAAATTAAATTGAGGGTGAATTATATGTAAGTGTGAAGTGAAAATGAGAGTGAGTGTGAAGAGAAAGTGATGGTGAATTAAATGTAAGAGAGTGAAGTTCAAGTTAGAATGGCAATGAAATCAATGTAAGTAAGTGAAGTGAAAGTAAGAATGAGGACGAAATTAAATTGAGGGTGAATTATATGTAAATGTGAAGTGAAAATGAGAGTGAGTGTGAAGAGAAAGTGATGGTGAATTAAATGTAAGTGAGTGAAGTTCAAGTAAGAATGGCAATGAAACAAATGTAAGTAAGTGAAGTGGAAGTAAGAATGAGGACGAAATTAAATTGAGGGTGAATTATATGTAAGTGTGAAGTGAAAATAAGAGTGAGTGTGAAGAGAAAGTGCGGGTGAATTCAATGTAAGTGAGTAAAGTTCAAGTAAGAATAGCAATGAAGTTCAAGTGAAGTACAAATGCGAGTGAACTACATGTAAGTAAGTGAAGTGGAAGTAAGAATGAGGACGAAATTAAATTGAGGGTGAATTATATGTAAGTGTGAAGTGAAAATGAGAGTGAGTGTGAAGAGAAAGTGATGGTGAATTAAATGTAAGTGAGTGAAGTTCAAGTAAGAATGGCAATGAAATCAATGTAAGTAAGTGAAGTGGAAGTAAGAATGAGGACGAAATTAAATTGAGGGTGAATTATATGTAAATGTGAAGTGAAAATGAGAGTGAGTGTGAAGAGAAAGTGATGGTGAATTAAATGTAAGTGAGTGAAGTTCAAGTAAGAATGGCAATGAAATAAATGTAAGTAAGTGAAGTGGAAGTAAGAATGAGGACGAAATTAAATTGAGGGTGAATTATATGTAAGTGTGAAGTGAAAATGAGAGTGAGTGTGAAGAGAAAGTGATGGTGAATTAAATGTAAGTGAGTGAAGTTCAAGTAAGAATGGCAATGAAATCAATGTAAGTAAGTGAAGTGAAAGTAAGAATGAGGACGAAATTAAATTGAGGGTGAATTATATGTAAATGTGAAGTGAAAATGAGAGTGAGTGTGAAGAGAAAGTGATGGTGAATTAAATGTAAGTGAGTGAAGTTCAAGTAAGAATGGCAATGAAATAAATGTAAGTAAGTGAAGTGGAAGTAAGAATGAGGACGAAATTAAATTGAGGGTGAATTATATGT